ACTAGAATTAAAAGAAAGGTCACCACTCCTTGATATTCTTTATACATGTAGTCTTTAAACACCTTTGTGCACAGTACTGAGGGCCCAACACAGGAAAGAAAATGCCTAAATATAAGCAAAAAGAATGCATGTAATGAAAAAAAAAATACATGTAATACAAAAAATACATTTATTTTGTACGCAGTGTACTTAAGTACATGAGCAGTGCAGCTGCTGCGTTAGGGATTCATTTCCAACAGCACTGGTGCCTTATGAGGGTTATTTTCTCTATGAGGTATACATACACCTAAATTTTAATCTGTTGTTATTACCCATGCAGTCACTTTTACTGCATGTTTCTGTCCAAGCATCTGAAAAGCTACAGTATCATTCTGCAAGCAAATAACGTCAATCTAACAAATTAATAGCATTCATCTAAAACAAACAAACAAACAAACAAAAACAAACAAACAAAAACAACATAAATTTTAATATAAAAACATCTAAAACATGACTTATGTTTTTTCTTTTCATCTTCGAAAGGGGAAAAGGGAACTAAATTAAAAACAATTCCTCTGTTCCAAAGTCAGGTCATCATGACACAAAGCAGTACAAACCAATAAAAGCAGTACAAACCAACAATTTCGGTGCTGGGGCCGGTCCTCTTTAACATCTTCATCAATGATCTGGACGAGGGCATTGAGTGCACCCTCAGTAAGTTTGCAGATGACACCAAGCTAGGTGCGTGTGTCGATCTGCTCGAGGGTAGGAAGGCTCTGCAGGAGGATCTGGATAGGCTGCACCGATGGGCTGAGGTCAACTGCATGAAGTTCAATAAGGCCAAGTGCCGGGTCCTGCACCTGGGGCGCAATAACCCCAAGCAGTGCTACAGGCTGGGAGATGAGTGGTTGGAAAGCTGCCTGGCAGAGAAGGACCTGGGAGTGATGGTGGACAGTCGGCTGAATATGAGCCAGCAGTGTGCTCAGGTGGCCAAAAAGGCCAACGGCATCCTGGCTTGTATCAGAAACAGTGTGACCAGCAGGGCTAGGGAGGTGATCGTCCCCCTGTACTCGGCTCTGGTGAGGCCGCACCTCGAGTACTGTGTTCAGTTTTGGGCCCCTCGCTACAAGAAGGACATCGAGGTGCTTGAGCGGGTCCAAAGAAGGGCGACGAAGCTGGTGAGGGGCCTGGAGAACAAGTCCTATGAGGAGTGGCTGAAGGAGCTGGGCTTGTTCAGCCTGGAGAAGAGGAGGCTCAGGGGCGACCTTATCGCTCTCTACAGATACCTTAAAGGAGGCTGTAGAGAGGTGGGGGTTGGCCTGTTCTCCCACGTGCCTGGTGACAGGACGAGGGGGAATGGGCTAAAGTTGCGCCAGGGGAGTTTTAGGTTAGATGTTAGGAAGAACTTCTTTACTGAAAGGGTTGTGAGGCATTGGAACAGGCTGCCCAGGGAGGTGGTGGAGTCACCATCCCTGGAAGTCTTCAAAAGACGTTTAGATGTAGAGCTTAGGGATATGGTTTAGTGGGGACTGTTAGTGTTAGGTTAGAGGTTGGACTCGATGATCTTGAGGTCTCTTCCAACCTAGAAATTCTGTGTGATTCTGTGTGTGAATAAATCTAGCAATGCTGACAATCCACTCTGGCAGTATATACACAGGCTTTTGAGCCATGGAAAGTTGGGAGGGCTTTGGATATTGGCTCTGTGGCTGCAAGCTGACTTATCCAAAGGAAAGAAAGGTCGGCGTGCCATGGATGGCATGTGAGACAAGAAATGCGCACTTGGAGCCACATGGTGCGTGGGTGGAGCGTGGCCCCGTGCCCTCCTGCTCCAGGGGGAGCCCAACTGGAGGGCTGTGCAGGTGGGAGAGCATGGGGAGGATCCCTACAGGTATTGCTGTTTGTGCTACCAATAACCAGAACAAAGATTTGTGTATAGACAGGAACACAGTAAAGCAGCCGAGCTTCCCCATAAATCCGAATTATTAGCAGATGCTCTGTCATAAAACCACTGAAAGTTTTTGGATGAGTTCTAACTTTAAAAAGCCAGGAAGTTTAATTACTGTGATTTGTCCTAGTGCCTGAAGGATTGACCCTTGCTCTTTAAGTATATTCGGGGGAAGTAAAATCTCTTTCTTGTCATCTTGTAATCCCCCTAGACATATTTCTGTACGTCAGAAAAAGTCAAAAGAGTGCTAAGGTACTAATGAAACTGGACAGAAAATAGCAACTGAATTCTCAGCTTCTCTTGTTTGGATACTACATAGGCCAACAGGACTGCAGTGCAGCTGCAGGAACAGCTGGGGTACCAAATCTTCACTTCACTCTGCACACCTACAATGAGGGGACTCTGCAGTCCCATGAAATCAATTGGATTTGTCTCAGACTCCATTTCCCTCTGTCATGGATGAGGTGGTAACAAACCAACATTCCCCCTTCCTTAAATGCTGGTCAGAAATTTTGATCCCACTAGGATCTTGTAAATAAGTCTTCGACCCTTTTGTATTTCTTTGACATCAGCAAGTGCAACAGCCAAACACCTCGGTGTGAGAGCTTGCCAGTACTGGAAGTCTCCTGTTTCCTGTCCTGCACGGGGTGCTGCCACAGCCAGGCAGTTTGATGCTTGAAACTGTCATAAAAATCTGCAGATAATGTGAGAACATGATGCCGCTACCAAAACGTAGAAACCTACAGTTTCTACAACAGTAGAAACCAAAGCAGAGCACTTCGTGCTCTTGCTATTGTGCTTCATGTAAGTATCAGCAGAAGGATATGCTAAAGGCCTTACATCAAAAATATATAAATTGTACAGAATATGAGAGGCTTACCTTCAGCCATAGTTGACATTATTTAATGTAAGAGGACTAACTTTTAGTGCCAATTAGACAGGGAAAAAAAAAAAAAAAAGGCTGCAATTTGCAGAAGATGCCAAGCTCTCTAATTAGTGTAACAGATATAATATTTTTTAAATGTAATTGGGCACTTCTTAAATGCCAGAGAACAAAAAAGTTCATCTGTCAAAACTTTTTATTTCTGGTATGCAAAATGCAACATAAGAAGATCCAGCCTTGTCATGCCTTATTCAATGTATAGAGAAGCAGTGCAAGTTGCTTTATTTACACCTACTTGTCAATCTAAGGATTGAGAAAAGAACCCTTAATATTTAAATTAATATTAATGAAGTGAAATACGAACAAATAAGAAGACTCTTACTCTTCAAAAAATATATATATAAAAGGAAAATTAGTTTGTTGATAGCTCTCTGGGCATCAGTCCAGTGCTGAAAAGTTGCACTAAATGAGATTTATATAGGAAAGGAAATAATCTTGTGTCTTGAATACTGATAATGGCATCTGTGTAATCTGAAGCAAATGATTGCATCAAAATGGAGACCATAGGCTCTTTTATAAACACCACCCAAAGATGAAAGATCTTAAATTGAAATACTTTTGTCCAACTTCAAACAATCTAGTAGTGAATACAGGATTTTCAAATGATATAGCAGTCTGATTTAGTCAAACTTGTTCTGTCTTATGTAGTACATCATTTAACAGAACCATGAAGTTCTGGGAGTTTTTTCTGTGAGTTACAGATGTTCAAGAAATACAGTTTGAAAATGTTGTAACCTTTGCTATCTGTTCCCAAAAGGAATCTATTCATCCTTTTTTATTATATCTTTGAGACAAATATAGAGCATTTCAGTCTGATCTGCCATATCTGTGGGACACAGTGACATGGCAGACACTTGGAACACATTTTAGGGATTGAGTAAAAGGCAGATATTGGTTCATCTAAAACATTTCTAAAACAAGCATACTACCTGCTCCATTTTGTAATTACAGAATTAGAGTGTCAAGGAATCTTATTTAGTGTAGGAAGTTTCTGTTACTAGTTTAATCTAAACAGCAACATAGGAAGTCTATTAATTTGATGGTAAATTAAATGACAATACTTAAATTCCCAAAGAATGCATGAAAATACAGCTGCTACACAAAAGCTGAATGGAAATGGACAACTTTTTAACTGAATGTAAGTACAAAGAAAAGTAAAGAAAACAAAACTTCGGTATGTAGAAACAAAATTTTGTTTTATTTATTAAAACACAATTGCTTTAAGGATCACAGTTAAAAGTCAGACTGCATTGAATAAGAAAGAAATAGCTTGTCTCTGGGCAGTTAGAAATTATGAACCTAGTAAACTAACACAAAAGTCTGCTTAGACCATTTTACCTTGGGCCACTTCTTTGCCCTAGCTCCACTTTTATTTATTTATTTTACTACTATATGGGATATTTTTATTCCTATTCATAATGTAGCTTTTTCCTGGTGGACCTTTGCTTGCCTGACAAAAATTTGTCCATACATAACAAGTTACTGTCAGCTGTATGCTACCCACACAATGGATGCATCCAGCATCTAGCAGGGGAAGAACAGCAGAGTATGGCCAGCAAGTGCTGAAATAAGGCTTGATTTTCCTACATTGCTAGAGAAGTTGGGCATTGTTTTTAGTGACTGGCAAAAATTTGCCATGTATTTGGCTGGAGCACCTCCCCTGTGAAGACAGGCTGAGGGAGCTGGGGCTGTTCAGCCTGGAGAAGAGAAGGCTCCAGGGAGACCTTATAGCCGCTTTCCAGTACCTAAAGGGGGCCTACAGGAAAGCTGGGAAGGGACTCGTCATAAAAAAAGTGCAGTGATAATGGTTTTAAACTGAAAGAGGGTAGATTTAGATTAGACATTAGAGAGAATTCTTTACTCAGAGGGTGGTGAGGCCCTGGGACAGGTTGCCCAGAGAAGCTGTGGATGCCCCATCCCTGGAGGTGTTCAAGGGCAGTTTGGATGGGGCTTTTAGCGACCTGGTCTGGTGGGAGGTGCCCCTGCCCATGGCAGGGGTTGGAATTACATGATCTTTAAGATCCTTTCCAACCCAAACTATTCTGTGATTCTGTGTGAATATATCAAGAATTTACTACCTCAAATGCATGAGTTGTTTCATATCCCTATCAAAGAAAAAAACGCACCACATTATCATTTTTAGTCAAGTATTTCTTTTCCATGATAAAACATGATGTTCTTCTTGAATGTACAAAATGTATAAAGCTAACTTAGCCCAACAGCTCTTACCATTACCCCAATTAGAGCAGCATGCCTTTAAAGTATAAAATATGTAGCTTTATTAAATGATATTAAAATGAGCCTGGTGTGTATCAAAATGTTTGTAGTCATATTTCTTTTTGCATTTAATCTCTCTATAATTTGCTGGTAATGTTTGTTTGAGTATTCAACACTGGAATTCAAAACATTAAGTTTATTAAGAGTTGTAGTGAGTGAAAACATTTCTATTTCAAGCTTCTGAAATACACAATTTTAAAGTTGATAAATTTAAGATTACAATTAAGTGATTTAGCTTTAATAAGTGCCAAACTTCTAAGGAAAAATAACACAAACCAAAGCTGAGTGGGTTTGCATACACATTATTTCTGGTGTAATATATACTGAAATTTTCCTATGTTTTCTGTTTTTGAAGAACTGCACTGAATGATGCAGAAAACAGCATGCTGATCTCAGAATTTCAATACAGCAAGAGCACAGACAAGAAGATGAATCCATACTCAGTGGCTTGCACTTCAGTTACTCATGAATGTCCTGCAGTGATGTCTACTTAATCTTGGACAGCCAACTTTAAAAGGATGTTTCTGTGAGGTGGATTAGTAAACAAAAAAGTGAAATATCTGTGAGAAAATGTAGGTAATAAACATTTTAATTCCTTTAAAATCTTTAGGATTACGCACATGCCCACATGTACCCATGCACACAACGTATTAAAGTAAAAAGTTTACACCATGTCATATCAGAAATTTGAAAGTGTGTAATATGTAAGAAAAATGTATAAGATAACTGTTGTTAGAAATCTGAAAACTCTATTCATTGTCATTCTTATGCACATCTAAAGAGCAATCTACTCAAGTTTACAAAACATTTCTTATGGCGGTTGTGATTTGTGCAGTTATGGAATCAGGCACTCACAATATGTACATCGAGCTTAAGTGGTTTGTGTATGGTACAAGTATAAAGCAGTAGGCAGGGTATGACAAATGCACTGAAGTCCTGACATTGCAAAATCTTGATCAAAATAAACAAACAAAAAATGACCCAGAAATCATCTCTATGATAAGAGAAAAGACATTTCACTTTTTGTGAAAGAGAAGAGGTTTCACCATCCCTGCTAAAATCTTGGGTAGCTGGGCAGCAATCACCTCTGACATCATCTCGGGGAATTCAACACTCAGTGCACGGGACTGGAGAAATGTGTTCAGACAGAAGAGATGGAGCTGTTTCACTAGCTGGAAGTAATAAAACACAAACATGATAAATAAGGCTAACAGTAATGCAGCCAGATAAACATGCTGTCAATCACTTAGCTCATACATCTATCAGATGACATCATTATATTCCATCCTCTGTCAATCCTTGAATCAGTAATTAAGATAATTTGTCATTCCCTATTAAAATATCATCCCAAGGTAAAAATCATAAATATAGCTAAATGGCATGTCCTATAAAAAGAGGAACTCACTGGCATTAGAAGGTGGAATCCTCACTCATGACAAGCACCATGATCAATGGCAGGTAGTAAAAAGCATTCGATCTTTCATTTTATCATGTACAACATGTCTCGATGCCTTGCTTACTATATGCTATTCAAACATTGATCTGAAGTCAGCATTTACCACTCCCTTGTGAGGTTTTCCATGGCTCTGACTATGACCATACCTAAGTGTGCTACTAACATTAAAATTAATAGGCCCCTGTCCCTTGAAAGCAACTGCTAAGTATATGTACTTTTTCACCCCTTCTATCTTCTCTGTGAAGTTCCAATTTTATAGCAGTTTTTCTTTAAGACCTGTGACATTTATGTCGTCAAATATGCTATTATCTCTGTTATCCTAGGTTTTAACAACATACAGCCTCTTCAGTGAGATGGTCTATCTGATATCTCCCATCTCTTTGTCAGATATTCTAAGGAGCAAACACTATTCCAACCAACTAACTGGTGGATATTTTGCAGTAAGTCTCACTTACTTGCTTCCATCTAGGCTACTTTACATTTTTTAAGTATTTGAAATTAAGAGATTGACTCTACAGACAGCTCAAAGAGTTTTTCTCTAAATGTTGAAATTCAAGATTGAGAATTCTTACTAGAGAGTAAGATAGAACTTTTATCCCCCCAAAAAACAGATCCATTTGTCAGATCACAGATTCCTTGAGCACCTGGCTAGCACAAGTAGTATACTGTCCAGGAATTGCTTTTGCACGTAAAAGCTGGCTGACTAAGCTCCAGGGAAGGGTTTAGCAAAGACAGGTCCAAATGACAACAGGAGTCTGAATACCGGTAAATCTTAAAGTTAGGCTTCATATCCTCCCTTCAGAATATTCTATTGTCTAACTTCACTTGTAAGGATGCATTTACCAGTTGTCTCATTCACCGTGACCTGGTATCTGAGAAAATATAATAGTTTAACAGTGAATGTGATTCCTATGGATAATAAAAGTTCATGGACAAGTTTGAGCAGTGGATCAAAGGATTGTGGACTAACTGGTTAACCACATTGTTACCTCTCTTGACTTCTATGAATGGGATCTTTGCTTTTTTTTTTTCCCCCATCAGAAGGAGGAATTAGTGACAATGGAAGCTTTTGGATGAAAAAATGAATGTATTAAAAAAAAAGTGAAATAAAACACAGATTTGCTAAGTGAAGAAGAATACAAACAAGCAAAGACCTCATCCTTCCCTAAACTCCTTGTGAGTTCCTCACAGCCAGCACTGAACTAAAAAAACACTTTTCCTAAAGTATTTTAGTACCACTCACACAGTCTTTGCTAAGACTTTGGGAGTATCGCCACATACCTTTGTTTCTTGCCTCTCTTTCAGAGATACACAAACCATTAAAAAACAATATTCAAATGGGTAAAGGTTTATAGAGAGTGTCATTCCCCAGTTTTAGTGGATGTTGAGCCCATAAGATACATGCTGGATTCTCAAGGATGTGGAAAGGATTCAGATGCATCTTTTAAAACACTTATGAATCTCTATGATACCACTATTAGAGCTCTACAAGATAAGTCAATTCCAGCATATAGATAGATAAAATACAACATAAAATACACATATAAAAGTAGTTGAATTGAAGTTGCAAAATCAATCTTAGCTATCTTAGCTAATTCTTAGTAGCCCGACTTTGAAATTTGAATTGCCTATTCTTTGCATTTTGTAAATATTTTCATGAAAACTTACACACAAACAGACCCCTACCAACTATCTCAAGTGTACGAGTTACAGAAATAATACAGCAAAGTGGTAGCATTCAAAGGCCTTTTTCTCAGATCCATATATATTGTATACGATACAATATATATACAATACATATTGATTATTAAATATATAATTATTTAAAGGAAAACTATACTTACAACATTTTCAGTTTAGAATTGTTAACTAGCTACTTTCTATAAAATTACTTTTAAAAAATTCTAGTTCCTTCTGACCTAAAAAGCAAAATAAATTAATAAGTAAACTTACATCATGCATGGAATCCATCAGTTTTGTAAGTTGATAGAAACGTTGGGAGTTGGCCACAACGCCTTTCTGGCGCAAACCAATTGCCTTCACCAGTTCTCTAATGTAACTTGCTCTCATCTCGTCAAATTGGCTTTGACTTCTTAGACCTTCCAAAGGAACTAGAAAGAAAACAACACTTGTGTTGCAATTTGTTCTGAAGGCAACAAGAGAGATTTAAAGTACAGGAACAGTTTATGGTGCATTTCACACTATGCAGTGTAATTTGTTATTATATGCCAGATACTTCTTCCTGTCATTTAGCTACTCCAGAAACAGTAATACAATTAGTTAAAATGATGTATTACTCAATTGTGCCAACTTCTGATGTCTAGAAGTAGTTTCAAACTTCAGCTATACCTATGTGCTGAAAAGAAGATGGCTAAAAGAACCACTCCTGCTCTTGAGGAAATATATCATGAGCCGGCTCATCTCATACTAGTCAGCCCTCCTTACAGCATATTTATCTTAGATCTATCTGGAGTGCCTCAAAATGGAGTCAAGGAATGAACTAACAACTCTGAAGTAATGTAGACAGTAAAGCATCCAAGGCTCAGATTTCCTGTTTGGGCCTCTTTTCACTTAACAAAATAGATGAACACTCAGAGTCTTAAATGTGAATATTTTTAAAGAGAAATTAGCAGGGAGGAGCAACTCTTCTCTTAATGGTCTGTTGTTAGGATCAAAATGAAGACATGGAAAGAACACCAAGAAATTAACCTTTTAGTGTCTTCTAGTGGTAAGACTACTGATAATCATAGATTATAAGCTTTGGCACCACTGTAAAGAAACAGGCATAAGTTCCAGACACTATATTCTTGACATGGTAGAGTGTAGTTTTTAAGTCATAATTTTTGAAGGCAACTAAGAAATTAAAACTTGAAAAATGAAACTTGAAAAAAATATTCCCATCTGGCAATCAAATCTAAATGCTTGCTTCACTAAAGTAATCACATGTTAAAATACGCTCTGGCTTCAAATACTTGTTTTTTTGAAAGAACTATTAAATTCCTTCCCCTTTCATTTTTATTTTTCAAATAACTTTTTACACTGTAATGTCACATTTAACATTTCATATTCTGACAGCAAGTTTATAGGGAAGGGCATTTCAGAACATAGGCATCTCCATATGAGCTGGTTACCACACCTCCCTGTATTTTTAGTGGGGAAAGTCAGTTCAGTATAGGGCATAAGATACACTCACTGTTTTAGAATTAGTTTTAGAAAGACATGAATTTTGCTGTAGAGATGCTTATTTCTCTCCACGGACTCTAAAAGAATCTCATGGGCTCACATAATTAAATAAATCACATGGTAGGCATCTAGTATACCTTCAATCTAGTCATGGTAAGTATCAGGCCATGACTTGATTTCATTTGAATCTCTTAAAAAGAAATAAATGGAAATGTGTTTCATAATGACATAGAACTATTCAACACTGTAACATCTAATGTTCAGGTGATTTATTGAATTCTGAAATTAAAGAAAATAACTGTACATGCTGACTCTCTGTTACAATGCACAGTGTTGTTAGATATCTAAGAGTGAAATTCTAAAAACAGAAGCTACCCAAAAAGGAGATGGCTGCACAGGAGTTGGACCTATGCCCATTAACTGAAAGGGAATTAGGTAGTAAGGCCTGCACTGAGAGAAGCACAGCTCTTCCTTCAGAAGCCTTAAACTCTGTTCTGAAATCAACTGCCTAAGTCATGTCTGGTTCCTCAGGAGAAGTAAGGGGGAAAGAGAGACATTTCACACACACATTAAAATTAAGAGTTGCCCTCACCTCAAGTCCAGGGACAGCTGACAAAGTAAAGCTCAAATCTCTACTCTGATTTAAGCAGAGGCCTCGTATTTTGTAAGAGTGCCAAAGAAAGAAAATGGTCCACTTTGCCACAGATGGCTTTTGTCAGTATCTCCTCAGACAACTGAATGTCTGAGAGAAGGAGGGAGACAGACACATATACACAGAACGGCAAGCTTACTTTCAGACAACAGAAATTGTGATTGCTTCAGCAAAAACGAAGCTCATAGCAACATTATCTAATAATAGTCCGGCTTTTAGGGATGTCATGTGTCATGTTAGATTTCTTTTGGCAGCTGATGAAGATGAAATGCTGAGCTACTTGTTGAGGGTCTGAATAGAAAAGTTCTGTTTTATGGAGAACACAACTTGTTTAGAACTAATACTAAGTGGGGAGCAGTAGTTATGTTATTGAAAAAGATCATAATTTTTAAAGCCTGGATGGTTCTGGGGATGTCTAACAGCAGAATTACAGAAAGGCATTCTGAAAGAATTTAGGAACCTTCTAAGCTAGATGAATGCTATCTTTGATTTAGGTCTCTAAAACACCAATTAAACCTTACAGTTGCCTTGTTAATTGAGTTAAAGAATTCTTCCAACAATGCATGGCCTGTTACCCCAGAATTCTGTGATAGCACAGTCACATCCCCATCTAATCGTTAAAAAAATAAATAAATAAATAAATAAATAAATAAATGAAGCCACTCTAAGATATTTATTTGAATGACAAATTACAGGGTTTTACATGAACAAATTCAGTTTAAGTACAGATAGCTCAAATGCTTCTTTTCCCTGAATATAAGTCAAGAACGCCAGCACTTTTATTCACTGGCAATAACCCAGTCAAAATCTTATGCAGCAAGGTTTTTGTAATTCCTCTAAATCAAAAAATCTGAACATTGGAGTTAAAACTGACCTTGCTATGAGATTATTTCTCTTTTCTGGCATAGCTCTACTTTCATAAACCCTGTTCATTCTGAACTATTTAGAGTTCTACTTCCTAGATGTATGCAGCATCTGCTAGATGGAGTCCTGTTGAGAACTTTGGGGCATTGTAACAGCACAGCATATAAAATGCGTAAATATTTAAAGCATATAAGGAACTGTAAAATGGAAACAATTATAGAAAATGAAAAAGTTGGTCCACATTTTGCAATGACTACTTCTACTTTCAAGACAGCTTTAAAACTGTCACAAGTGCAGTGAAAAAACTAAACCACAGCAAACTCAAAGGAAAAAGGTAAAATTTAAAATAATGTTAAAACTTAAGTTGGGGTTTCCATTCAGAATTAGAAATGTATTGATATTGACATTTATGTTAAATACAAATTACGTTTCTTTAATATGATATAAAAAGTAAAACTAGTTCATCTAAATAATAAATTAAATAGAAGACAGAATGAGAGACTAGAAGTTCAGACTTGATTTACTGTTAGTATATGAAAGTTTGAAATGGCCATACTTTCACATTTGAAGAGGATTAAGGTGAATAGCATGACTGAAATAAAAACAGTCTTAAAAAAAACCACTATAAAGCAACAATCAAGTTATATGTTTTTTTGAACACAGTTTTGTGGAGAGTATTGTATTTATACAGTACCAAACATTTACTAAATGTCTCAGCAACAACGGTTAGGTGTGTTCCTTTTCCCAAAGATCTGACAAATTGTTTTTTCCTATAAGACAATAAGTGTAGGAGAGAACAAAAAGCAAAACTCATCAGCACAGGTAAAAATACTTTCATGTTTTTAAAATTAATTTCTTGCATATATATAAACACATGACCTTAAAAATGAGGTTCTGAGGGAAATGGAGTTGATAAAGAATAGTAGGTTGATGAATACTGTTACTGATGAATACTGAATACTGATCCGCTCTTAACTGAGAGGGAGTTGACCAGTGCAGTATTTTTAAAAATTTCATTTGAACTTTATTGTATGGAAGTGGAGAGCTGGAATGTCACAAATGTACCAACATTTCACTGAAATTTAAGACTTCCCTGTAAAATTCACATAGACAAGAGAGTTCAATAAGTGATGGAAAGGTGGAAAATGCTTATACATTCAAAACCTCGATGCAATTCCAAGAAAGCGACTGCAGTTATCAGAGATTGACTAATCACAGAGATTTTTGTCCACGTTATTTTTATTGCTTTAGCAGAGTGTATGCTATTTTTTTATTATTTTAGTAATTTTCATATTCATATGAGCTAATTCTAATCTTTCCTCCTTGTGTTCTGGTGTTCTGCTGATTGGAGGCTTTTTTAAGCATGAACTTATGCAAATAACAGCCAAGTAAGGTTTGAGTGAACAAATTTTAGTTCTTTATCTTTTGCTGAGCCTTTGTACAGCCAAATAGCAGGTTATGAAGGACTCACACATCTCTTCTACCACTCAGTAAGTATGTAGAGAACCAAACTTCAATGTTAGGTTCCCCTTCTAGTTCTAGGAGGTGCTTAGTGCTTAGTTACTAATAGCAGCTGTACAATTTAAAAACTTTCTTCTTGGGGACTGTTCAGGGCATCGGCAGATGTACTGATGTTTGTGTTTTAGAAAAAGCTTCAGAAGATAATTTTATCAACTACCACATCTTCCAATTAAAGTTTAATGTAATGCTGTATATGGTATTCTTACAAAGATGTGTATGATTGAAGTGAGCAGACTGTTCTCAAGCAAACAACTAAAAAAAATCTACTTGTTTATAGCTGTGCTAAACCTCTATAAGTAAAAATAATAATAAAAAATAAAATATAAAATAAATGGTAGCATCGTTTGCCATGTCCACTCTCTTAATTCTTTTGAGTAAGCACACTTTAACTTCTTGGCCAGAATAAAGCCCTCAGTCAACAAACCTGAAAAATAATTAAATACATATAGCTATGTATTTCTAATATAGAGGGGTGTAGGGCTTACAGGGGTTGCTTTATCTGTGTAGAGTCATTTAAAGTGAACAGCTTTCTGACAGCAAGTCCATATACTTGCTTTGAAAATATTTAATACAGTACACAAGTATTTGAAAAGGGATCTAATATTTCCCCAGTGCCTTTATACAGTATAAAACCAATGATGAAACACAGATTATTTGTTCCTTACAAACATTACAAGCATACCTTTAGGTCTTGGAATACTAACGTTTTCCTCCTAAAGAAGTTTTCCATTTGTTTAGCCAGATAGCTCAGCAATTGTCTAGTTAAACAATGTTGCTCAAAACAAAAATTTTACTAGTGATATGTTACAAAGAAAGAAAGGAACTTACTTGTGTTGAGAAGTAACAGAGCTTTCATACATAGGAACTCTTCTTGGCTAACTTGAAGTCTGACAAATTCCTGTGGGAGTTGCCACATGGATAGACACAGTGAATAGAACCATGATTCTAGAGAAGGAGAGAGTTTCCTTCTCAGTGCTGGCATGCTCGGCTCAGCTGTGGCCCTACAGGAAAGGGGATCTACAGGAAAGTGCTCCCTGAGTGCAGGGAGAGAGAGAGAAAAGCTTATAGAAGAGGATCTTCTGATTTGGTAAACCTCTCCTGCAACAGCCTTCATTCCACTAGCAACAGCCCCTTCCTTGGGCAATGAGGCCCACGAGAACCCTTGCCCTGGCCTTCCGTAGCTGCTTGGCCAAAGGTCTCCAGCCCGGTCTCACACAGCGCCTCGGCCTGGCGCTGCGTAGATTCCCTGTCACTGGCTGAGACTCGAGGGGCCCCCGCAAGGCCACACAGAGCCTTGGGACTCCTGCATATGCACTCTGCACAGGACTGGGGCTGAAGGGAGCAGGGAGTGTCACTCCGCTGCCCTCACTGGAACAGAAACTTGAACCCTTTCTTTTTCTCTCCCCAGCGTTGGTGAGAAAATCCCTGTGCTTCCAATGCCAAAGATGACACGAGCATCAGGGAAACCAGCGAGGACCCCTCGCAGCTGGGAGCAGCTGCGAGCCCAATAAAGTCTGTTGCTTCCTGCTGGAAGGACCAGCATGGGCTTTGTAGTGTTCTGATTTCACAGAAACACAGAATGGTTGAGGTTGGAAGGTACCTGAAGAGGTCAGCTTGGCCAACCCCCTGCTCAAACATTGCCACCCAGCACCAGTGTCCAAGGAGCATGTCCTGTGGAGATGGCTTTCAAGTGTCTCCCCTTGAGGAGGGAGACTCTACAGCCTCACTGGAGAACCCGTGAGAGGACTCGCTCACCCACACACTACAGAAATGGATCCTGAGGTTAGGTTCAGGTGGAAGCCACTGTGTTTGCTTCTGTGCCCATCGCCTCCCGTCCTGTCATTGGGCTCCACTGAAATGAGCCTGGCTCCATTGCCTTTGCACCCTGCCCGCAGGCATGCAGTTATCCACTGATCCCCCCTGAGCTTTCTCTTCTCCAGGCTAAACAGTCCCATCTCTCCCAGCCTCTCTTCATAGGAGAGATGCTCTGTTCCCTCAATAATCCACCTCACAATTTTTGTGGGACTGTTAAGCAGTTCAAGTAGCACCACTCGTGGCCTCCCAAGACAGCCACGAAGGCCTCCTAGCTGAGGCTGCTGATTCTCCCTTGCTGAAAGCCAGGTGCCCTTAGGATCCAGCATCAGCACCTGCCTGTGCCTGGAGAGCTGGGAAGAGCTGGGAACTCTTGATCCTTCCAAGGATCAAGGGTGGAACTTCCAAGGTAACGGCTCACTGCAACCTTCCCTTTGGTCCCAGGAAATAAAAAAAAAAAGGCATCAAGCACCTGCCCTCACTCCTCACTCAGCCCAGAATTAGCAACAAGTCTTCCTTCCCTGCTGGTACTGCTGCCAAGGGAGCTTTGAAGTTAAGAGCCTCTTTTTGGAAAACAGCTTTTCCATGACCTCTCGGGTCTGCACATGGCCAAGAAACAGAGAGAGAGAGAGAGTTTGAAACTTGGGAGAAAAGAAGAAAGGAAGGAAAGCCAGCAGGGACTTTAAATCTGCACAGCACAAAACTGAAGGACAAGTTGAAATTTTTTGTCACATCACTCATACAAGAAAGTGAAGAGCTCTCTTTCTCTCACATGCTCTCACAGTTTTCATTCTCTCCTCCTAAAACTTTCGGAGACTTTGATCCCTCATCAGGCAGCCTCGATGCAAGTTGCTGTCACTTCCACTTGGGTGGAATACCTCTTGCTGAATTGCTGCCTTTGGCCTTAGAGATCCCAATCTGTAGGCATCCTTTGAACTGATTTCCTCAAATCCCTTTTAAGCACATCATCCTGAAGTCTACTGAACCCAGCCCATGTAATCTGCTACGTCACATAATGCTGAAAGCTTGTGAACGAGTGAGGGTGCCACGGAGAAGCCCTCCGTGTTGTGGGGCACAAGCTCGTCCCTCAGGACACCTCACAGACCACGTGCGACGTGGCCATCTGACACATGGAGACACTGAGGGAGCGTGCCAGGCACAAGCTCTATATTAAACACTCGTGAAGCATTCCTTCTTCCTTATTCCCTTTCGAGATTTCATGAATAAACAAATGGCAGTTCTAGCATTTCCTTCCCACACCCAAATGGATCACCTTGCACACCCCCTGGGGCACTCTCGAGGTTTGTATGGGACTGAAAGGAGAGAGGTTCCTACTCAGTGCTGGCATGCTCGGCTCAGCTGTGGCCCTACAGGAAAGGGGATCTACAGGAAAGTGCTCCCTGAGTGCAGGGAGAGAGAGAGAAAAGCTGCTCCCTGACAGGGCGGCTCCAGCCCCACCCTCTGACAGCCCTGGCGGCCATTTTGCAGTTCTGCCTGCCCCCCGCGCCACAAGATGGCTGAGGCCTTGGCCTGTCCGCAGCACGGCTGTCAGTGGTGTCGGGCGGCATCTAGAGCCAAGAGGCCTTTCTTCTTCTTTGTGCTGAAGGAAACTTTGTGCTGTCTGGAGCGAGCAGTGCTGCTTTTCTCCGCATTCCGGGGCTGTCATGGTAAGTGACATGGCCTCTCACTTTGAGGGCCCTGTTTTTCGTCAGCATTTGTGAGGGGCTTCTGCATGCCCCCCGCTCACTTGTTGCGGCCAGGGCTTCCCCCCAGGATGTCTGGGCAAGGCCCATGCTGCTGGGCAGGCTCTGGGTGGGCCTTGTTCCCTGCAGGGGCAGGCGTCTGCCGCTGAGCCCACAGCCCATGAGCGGCTCCTGCACTCGTGGCTGCCCCTGCGCGGGCTGCTGCCGCTGCTTCTGGAACCTTCCTGCAGCCTCTGGTGCCTGCTTGGCGGCGGCTCGTTGGGCTTGGCAGCCCGGGATCTGCCCCTTGCTGCTCTGGCAGTATGCACAAAAGAAGAGCCCAGCCCCAGCAGAAGGACGGGTCCATTCTGCCTGGTGCTTGTGTGTTGCCCGTGGCCAGAGTGGGCAGGCCAGCATGTCGCTGGTGCTGGCACTCAAGGCTTTCCCTACTTGTTGGGAACTGGTTGGAGGGAACTCTTTGGGGGATTTTTATTGAGCTGAGGGTGTTGGCTGTGCTCTTACTAGCCCAGCGTCACTTTAGAGGGAAAAAAGGAGGGAACTGGGAAAATCCGTGACATCAAGGCCATCTCCAGGGCTCTGCAGAGTGACACTGCCTGGCATCTTCTCATGAGCAGTGGCCAAGGCATGAGGGCCCATCTTCTTGCTTGGAGAAGCCCCAGAAATACTGACCCATGTTTCTGATTTCTTGCTTTTCAGGGTGTCACAGTACCTGGGCTGGGCACCTTCTTTGCTGTTAAACAGGAGCGGCCCTGTACTGGGTCTGGCTGGAATGTTAACTTTCCCGGCAGCAGCCCATACAGTGCCGTACTCTGTACTTGTAGCTGGAACAGCAGTGTTATCACACCAGTGTTGTGTCTACTGCTGAGCAGCAGTGGCACAGTATTAGGCCTTTCTCTAACCCTCCTAGGGGGTGGGCAAAAGGTGAGGAGAGAAACATCACTAGGGCAGCTGACCTAAACCAATCAAAGGGATATTCCATACCATGTGGTGTCACACTCAGCAATAAAAGGTGGAAACAGGAAGAAGAGGGGAGGGGTGGGCTCTCGTTTGGAAGACGTAGGTCCTCCTCTCGAACACCGGCTGCGTGCGTTGAGGCCTTGCTTCAAGGACGTGGTCAATCACCACTCATTTGTGGGAAGTAGAGAGTAATTTCTTTCCTCTGCACTTCCATATAGCCTTCATTTATTTTGTTTGTTTTCCTCCCTTCTTTTTATTTTCCTTTTTTCCCCTCCCTTTCCCCTTTCCCTTTTTATTTCCCCTTAGTTAAATTGTTTAGTTCATGGTAGTCTTTATTTAATTATTATAATTATTTCCCTTTAATTAAATTATCCTTATCTCAACCCGTGAGTTGTTCTTTGCTTTACTTCTCCCCCTCCTCAGGGGGAGTGAGAGAGCGGTTGTGGGGTTTAGCTGCCCAGTACGGTAAAACCACCACAGGACATAGCAGGCTTTAAGCTCCTTGATGTAAAGAAGCCCGTCTTCCAGGTTTTGGAGCACTTTGCCAATGTTCATGGGCTCCCTTACAAGAAAGAAACTTTTCCTGGTAAGAAGAGAGATGATTGTCTGGGCTCCCACGCGTGGGGACTTTGGGCTGCATGCTCAGCTGCTGCTGGGAGGGCAGTGGAGGGGTTACACAGCTCATCCAGGAGGTCCAGAGAAAGGCCTGAGCTCCTCTCAAGCCAAGGCCCACCAATGCTTTGACTCTTCCAGGAACCACAGGGTTTTCCCCAGGAAGAAGGCAGCTCATCCAGCAGCGTGGACAGGGAGGCTGCAGATGAGGGGTACAGAGCGCCTCCCCAGACACCTGGAGGTCAAGAGTCAAAGCCATCAGCATGTCCCAGCCCCAGTGAGCACAGCACTGCGGTGCTGGTTGAGAGCCAGGGACGTGCACGACATGCCTCCAGTGTCTCTGAGGAAGAGCTGGATGAAACAGCCGAGATTGTCGTTGCTGCAGTGCTACTCCGTTCTGTAGCCATCATGCAGGGAGCCACGAGAAAGGAACCAACTGCTCCCTCGGCTGCACGGCCCAGGGTGCCTCCTCCCACCCCAGAGCCTGTTGACTGTACAGCAGTTGATGAAACCGGAGCAGTGGCTACTCCCTTGGCTACGGTTCCTGGGCACCAGGTAAGCCCAGCGCGTGTGGTGGTCTCCAGGCACCGAGGGCAGCCCAAGGCAGAAGCAGTGCGTGGAGTGTGCGTGCTGGGGAGCTGCCTGCTGCTCTCCATTCCCAAACGTCCCAGGCACAAGGGCTGACATCCCTTCCATCACCTGCCTGTGCTCTTGCTCTCCCCATGCAGGTTGCTGCCAAGCAGGGAGGCCAAGCGCAGTCTTCCTGCACCAAACATACACCAGCAGACAAGCCAGCAACGTGCCAGAAACAAGAGCCGTCCCAGGGACTTTTGGATGGGCCTATTCAGAGCAGCGAGCAAGGGCTCGGTACGCGCAGGGGGGCTGGCTGGTCCTGGGCCACCCCTCCCCTTGGGGGAAAGGCCTTGGTGGTGGTGTGGGGGGAAGGCAGGGGCTTGCCCATCACCCGCTCAGGCCCTAACCTACACCTCTCTGTCTCCCACAGGCATCCATGACCTCGCACAAGCCCCGGCACTCCAGCCACGGCCCACCCACGTCAGGAGAGCTCTGCGGGCTCTGCACAGGGCTTTGTGCTGCTGCTTCATCGCAGAAGAGTGGGAGAAGCAGCAATGTAGCAGCAATGTAGCCCGGTGGTCGTGGGCAGGGGTCTTTCAGGATGAAGGCAACGAGGAAGAGGAGGTTAAACTCTCTTTACCTTTGTGAACTTGGACCTTCTGTTGGATAGTTTAGGCCTTTTTTTGCTTATCTTTGCCTTGTTTCCTGCCAACAAGTTGTTCCTTCTTTCTTAACGAGATGTTCATTCTTCCCTCATCCGTTAGCCTTGAACGATATCTTCTTTTTACATCTGCTTCTCATCTACATCCCTATAATTAGGATATTTTTAGGTTCTCATCCACATCCCCAATACTTAAGGTACTTTACCATGTATGTAATGTAGCTAGATACTAGTTCAGATAGGTTTTTTAACATCTTCCCCATCTCAATTCCCCCCTTTTCTTCTAAATCAATAAAGTCTTTCACTTTGTACTTATTCTCGGCCCCCTCTCCATAGCTATTTGTAAGCACATATTCCTTTGAAACATTGTAATATCAGGAAAACAAATATTCCGTAAAATAACAGAACCAGGCCCGTAGTAAACAATTGTTTTAACCATGTCAAACTTGGTAACCAACTGGTTAGTTTTTCCCATAATTCAGTAAAGCCAAGCGAGGTGTCATCCCGTGACACCTCATGCAATAGGTGAGTATGTTTCCATATCTCCTCTAAATTGGTTTCTATTCTTCGGAATTGATCAATATACGTACAGCAACTCCGGTTTATTACAGTGCACACTCCTCCTTCCTTTGCTGTTAATAAATCTAATGCCATTCGATTTTGTAAAACTACCTTACTGAGAGATGAGACTTCTACCTGTAGTGCTTTTATTGCATCTGTGGTGGAATTCTCTATCCGTTCTAATTCGGCTGAAATATTTACCATTGCCTTTTGCAAATCGCTCACTCCTAAGCTAGGAATTAACCATCTAACAAAACGATGGTATCCTGTGGGCCCTTCTACCAAAGGATTCAGTGGGATTGCTCGAGTTATGCGTTTCCATGGGGACCTTAAGATACCAATAGGTATTGCAGGCCCATTATAAGAAGAATTGGGAGATGCCAAATATCCCCCTATACAATGACCCTTCCAATTAGGTGGTAAATTCTTCCTTGCCCTCCCATCGCCACATAGCCACCAATACCCTATACCTAATTTGCACCCACTTTCCGAAGATCCATCCACTCCAGACTCCTTATCAGGGTCGTATGCTACTTGGATATTAATATTACAAGATGACCTTAAATTGGCTAGATTATATCCCCCTACATTTTCCGTTTTTGAACAGTCAGGTTCCCGACCAAAACTAAGCCCCAGATTACGCAAGATCTTTTGTTCGCATCCCAAACTTGGGATGAGCGGGCCGTGCCAGCCCGCAGCGTGGCATTGGCGGCCTTGTTGCCGTCCCCAGGGCACGGCTGAAGGGGATATTGTGGGTTTGATTTGGAAGGACGGGGAGAATTTGGGATGCAGTATCCGACTTCATCCGCAGGCAGTTCGCGCTGAACAAGGTGGGCTTTGCAGCCTCATGCTGCCCTCTTACTCCGCTCTTTCCCAGAGCTGCCACCCCACAGAAAGCACTTGTGGACCTGAAATCGAAGTCTCTGCAGATGGCAGCAGTGCGTATGAAGCAGCAGCATGTCCTCATCCCTCACCCCCCAGAGGAGAACACTGAGGCAGATCCTGTGAGGAAATCAATGCCAAGCAAGCGTGGGCCAGCTCCCACAAAGGCCAGGGAAAGCTGAGCTGCAGCAGGCTGCCCGAGGGATCCAGGATGCGGGTCGCTCAGCTCTGGGCTTTGGCTCTCCATCCCCTGGCTGCTTCGGGGATGACCATGGAGATGCCCTGCCTCCAGCTGTCCCCCTGCAGACCCAAAGTCCTGAAGCTCCCCTGCAGCTGACAGTCACAAACCTTGTGTGGAAGGGAGCTGTGCCCACTTCTCCTGGGACCAGGGGAGGCCGAGTTGGCGTGTTAGGAAACAGCTGGGGAAGAGGAAGGAGGCCCTGCAGGAAGGCAGGACCAAGAGCAGAGCTGTGGACATCCCCGGGAAGACTGTGGAGGAGCTCCCGCTCTGGTAGTCCTCTGCTGCAACAGCCTTCTTTCCACAGCCCCTTGTTCAGTGAGGCCTCTGGGCTCTCACTGGCACCCTTCTCCCTGAAGGGAGCAGGGAGTGTCACTCAGCTCTCCTCACTGGAGCGGAATCTTGAACCTTTCCAGAGAATCACAGAATGGCTTGGGTTGCAATTGAGTTAAAGATCTTCTATTCCCTCCCGCCCCCTGCCATGGGCAGGGATGCCATTCACTAGAGCAAGTAGCCCAGTGCCTCATCCAAACAGGTCTTGAAGACCTCCAGGGATGGGGCATCCACGGCTTCTCTGGGCAAGCTGTTCCAGTGCCTCACCACCCTCTGTGTGAAGAAATTTTGTGGCCACCAAGGAGCAGCTCTGACTAGCCTTCTCTTTTCCTCCTGACAGGGATGCCTCCTGCTATTAAGAGCCGGCTGCTCACACCCCAGAGTCGCTCTCCAGCCAGACTCTCCAGGGCGACAGGGAAGGCACAGCTGGGCCAGGCTGCTGGGGAAAAAGAGCCTTCTCCCAAATGAGGCTGGGGGAAAGCCATAGAAGGCAGCCCCAGAGCTCTTCCCCTTGAGTCATCGAGAAGCTTTCCTTGCACGCAGGGACTTGGTGAACTCCACAATGGGCCTGACGCATGTCCCACTGATGGCAGGTTCCTGCCTGGGCACCCAGCAGGTGAGCAAAATCTCTCGCCGCAAATCCTCCTCTGTTGTGTTTGCAGGCTGCTGACAGTGTGTCAGGAGAGCTCCACAAGGACGGGAGAACAGGGCAAGGGCAAGCGCTCTGCTGCAGCCAGGCCCCAAACTCAAGCACCTGCCGGTGAGGGTCACCGGAGAGCAGGACAGGTGGCCGCTGTGGTCCACCTACCTGGGTTTTTAGAAGGGAAATGCTTCTGGAGATGTGACATTTTGACAGTTATTGTGCCTTCTTCAGTGCCTTCTTCATGATTAAAGAGGAGCTCCCCATGGTGGGCTTTGAGCTCCTTGATGTAAAGAAGCCCATCTTCGATGTTTCAGAGACCTTTGCCAGTATTCATGGGCTCCCTTACAAGAAAGAAACTTTTCCGGGTAAGAAGAGAGATGAATGTCAGAGCTCCAATGTGCAAGGATGTGGGCTGCATGCTCAGCTGCTGCTGGGAAGGCAGTGGAGGGGTTCCACAGCTCCTCCAGGAGGTCCAGAGAAAAGCCTGAGTACCTCAGAAGCCAAAACCTGCCAATGCTTTGCACCTTCTGGCAGGCAACAGCTGCCGGAAATGTCCCTCTCCATGCTGTTGGCACCCTGATGGCTGTGTTGGTGGATGACTTCTCCTCTTGGCATCTGGCACAGCTGCAGGTGCAGAGCAGCAGCAGGGCGTCAGTGCTGGAGGGCCCAGCAGCTACGCAAATGTGACTGCCCTCCTCTGCAGGCCTGTGTAGTTACTTTTCTCCTTGCTTCTTTTCCGTAAGGTGTAATTCGATTTGTTTTCCTGAATTATGCCTGGCTGTCCTTGGACACAAGGGCACATTGCAGTGCTGCATTGGGAGGGCCTTGTCCTTCTGGGTCAGACGCGTCTCCTGATGAGGCACAGGAGCCTTGCGCCTGACAAAGCCATGGAGTGATTTACCAGGTTCAGGCACTCGCTGCGCAGCTTGTGCTGCTTGTAAGGAGGGGTGAACACTAAGCCCTGCAAGCTCTGCCCGTGGGCTGCTTTCTGCCTGAGCAGCCGCAATGCCTCCGTTGGCAAGGGCATCCCTTCCTGGCCATGGTCTCAGCCAGGACTGTCTCTCCTGCAGAGGCTAGGCACAACAGATTTGGCCACATGGGAGAGAAAAAGCATAGTCCCACATCCAGCTTCTGGAGGTGTCATCATCTTTTCCACGTGGGTGCGTTGCTTCTGCAGCCCTCGGCTGAGCGTTTTGGCAGCTTTTCAGCTCCTCTCCGGAAGGTCAGCAGTGCCAGGGCTTGCCCAGTGCTCAGGGAGGAGCTGGAGGGAGACTTCTCCAAGCACTGTTTCCTCCTCCACTCCACACTGATTCTTGCTTGTTTTGGACGAGGGGGCATTCTCTTTGTGTAGCTAGGGCTGGGGGAATGTCTATTCCCTGCCCAGCCCACAGCAAGCCCCTCTCAGATGCTGGCACCAAGACCAGCACCCTACAGCCCTAGAATGTGGTGCTCTGGAGTCACACTGCCTTGGTCTTTCTTCCAGGATTGGGCTCTACATACCTCGGGGAAGAGCTGCAGGGGAAGAGCCTCTCCAAGCACCCAAGGGTTTTGCTTTGGGAAAGAAGGGAGACGCAACGATGGAGGGAGAGTGTACATGAACAGGTAAGATTGACTCTTGTAAAGCTGACCTCACAATCAGTAAGATTGTAAAGTAGGTATGTTTATGCAGCGCTGGGCGGCACGGGGGGTAGTCCCACCAAAGTCGTGCGCCCCTAACATGGCAACTTGCTTTGGTTATATGCAGTAGAGATTTACATATGCATGAGGTTTCCCAGTATGCCTATACATATTCATAACCTGTCCCCGCTTAGTATTAAAATTAGTTCCAAGAAGTCATTTCCATAAACTCCTCCCCTCTGTGCTTGCGCGGTGCCTTCTGGTGGTGGGCACTGAGGGTCGTGAGGATGAAGTGAGATGTCTTCATCAGGGTTGAACTTTTCACCTCGTCTCCTTGCGCATGCTCTCTGAGGCCTTGGTCATAATCTGGGCCATAAAGTTGGTTTGGTCCAGTTCTTCGGGCCTGAGGGGCTCCTGTTATCTGGAGGCCTTGCATGTTTGACATTTTTTATCTTGTCCTTTTAAGAACAGTGCTCCTTATCTCTGAGCCCTTGGTCACAGTCCGAACCATAAGGTTGGTTTGATCTGGTTCTTGGAGTCCCAGGGGCTCCTGTTATCTGGAGGGCTAAGCGCAGCACAGGCACATCTCAAATGTAGCACATATTAAGCAATGAGTGTTGCCTACATATTCATTCTTAATCAATCACTCTCTAATTTCTAATCCCATGTTTCAGTCCCCCTTTTCTGGAAAATCTAGTAAATTCTTTTACTTAATACAAAAATTCTTCTTCCCAGTCTCTACGGTATGTACCCCTCAATACCTTGCCATGTACCTTTGTCAAGGAAGCTAGTATGGCCATTCATTGTAACCATTTCCAATTCCAAAAGTATTACAAAAGACAATATTAAACTTATACCAACTAATATCAGTAAAACAACAACCGGGTGACACAATGTGTTCAAAATCCCAGTTGCAGTTGGCGACCATCCTAAGAGTGTGTCCCACCGGTTGTGATTTGTCTTGTTTTACTCTTTGCAAATCTCTGCTTATTTCCTTTGTATCATGATGGAAAGGGATTAGAGTCTTCTTTCCATTTTCCTGAATGCTTTCTTTTAAAAAAAAATTTTGATCAGGTCTTGGTGTTTAACTAGTTGCTTCACTAACGTGAGGTTCACCCCAGCAGGTGTAGGTAATAACTTGTGATAGATTGTGTTGTTAGACTTGATCAACTGGTGGGATACCACTGGTGCCAAATACAGAAAATCACACCTGACAATTCTAACAAAGTTAGAAAAGTTAGAATGATTTTTGCTAGGGAGAGTCACGTCTTCCTTATCTACTTGTACAAAAGCACACGCAGCCTTGACCAATATATACAAGCACAGTCTTTTGACTAGTATTTGGATGAATTTCAAAGTGGCAAACGCCTTGTTGCGTGTCAAGACATACATCCTGAGCATCAATTGTGTTGCTTTCACAAATAA